ACACACACACACACACACACACACACACACACACACACACACACACGTATATGATACAATAATACAGTAGCATCAAAATGGAATGTTTCATAGTTCAGTGATGTGTGCAGTAACAGTACAACAAAGTTCACAACTCAGTATTGCTTTAAAACAACATTATAATTGAATATGGGCTGTATGGTGGGGAGTCCAAAGTATTTAAACCCTAGTGGGTGGTATCCTTAAGGGGATCATTGACCCGCTATTAATCATGTGTCTCACATGAGCTAAGGTGTCAAAAGAGGGGACTCTCCACATCCAGCTTTTAAAGGAACTGTAGATAGCTCTTGGATGCAAGGTGAATATCCGAGAATCATCTTCAAGAATCGTCTTCAAGATTCACGTCGCAGATTTATCACTACATACATCTACTTTCAGTACTAGTAGTAGTATTTATAGTTCCTTTGAGCAATCACTTCCTTCAAACCATCAACATGCCCATTATACCTGATTCCTACAAGACTCCCCCAAAAAGTCCTAGACTATATTCACTGTTTGAAGGCACTATTGGCCTTCAAACAAATAGTAATTCAATCATTACTTAAAAAGTCATCACTTTATCCAGCTTCTGTGGTACAGACACCCGCCTAAATTTACAATTACGTTTAAACTTTCCTTTTGGACAAAGCATATACAGTTGTATGGCAAAGTGTTTGCCCACCTGATTTACTTTTTTTTGTATGTTTGTATGTTTGTAACAATGATGTTTCAGATCATTAAACAAAATTTTAATATTATTCAAAGATACTACAAGTAAATACATAATGCAGTTTCTAAACGATAGTTTTTATTATTGAGGGGAAATTAATCCAGACCTACATTGCCCTGTGCAAAAAAAAAGTGATTTCCTCTTAAACCCACTAACTGGTTGGGCCACCTTTAGCAGTAAAAACTGTGAACAAGTATTTGCAATAACTGGTAATGAGTCTTTTACAGTGCTGTTGAGGAATTATGGCCCACTGATTTTTGCAGAATTGTTGTGATTCAGCCACAGTGGTAACTTAACCTCCATGAGGTCTCTGGATGTTAAAATCAAACTAGTTACCAGTCATCAGTTACACCAGCCAAGTGACACAGACGCACAGATGTATAGAGAAGTACAGTTTGACTTGGAGTTAGGAATGGGGATTGAGAACTGGTTCTTGTAGAGAACTGGTTCCCAGAAGCTCAGTTCCTTGGAGTCAATAGCCTGCTTTCCTATCGATTCCACTTGCACTTGCACAACAATCATCTGATTTCAGCTGAGTTTGTGTGCTGGAGGAGGAAAATGCTGGCTCAGTTTGCAGCGTGAATATTGACAATACTTTTACTTTTATTGTACAAAAACGAGAGTGTAATGGTGAAGTGAAGACTACATCCAGGACAGAAACAACTGCATTATACTGATAACTGAACTTTGGCTCTTTCTTTGCGAGCACGTGCATAGCCAGAGTGCTAACTCTAAGCTAGCCAAGAACACAGAGTTATGTTAAAGCTGAGTAGATGCCAATCCCAGCTCAGCAGTCAGACTCTGAACTTCTAACAGCTAACAAAAACAATGATGAGCAGTCAGGCTGCAACCTCCATTTCTACCTGTTCATATTTCAACACAGAATCACTGTGTGCTGTCAAATTTGTGTTTATACCTAAATAATAAGAGAAAGATCATATCTGACTTCATTAAGATGGGATTTGTGTTGGTGTGTGGGACTGTAGCCTGTAGGTTTATATTATTAACTGATAATTATGAGACATTGTGTTTCAGATCAGAGTTACAAACCAAATAATTCCGTAAGATAATATAATATAATATAAACCTTATCCCATAAGTGGCAAATTTTCTTGATAACGTACTGCATTACTTTTTAGAAAGGTTTTCTGTGTTACATGTGTAATACATTACTTATTTCTTTTGAGCAATAACCCCAACACTGATCACAACAGATGATAAATACATCCAACTTTTACAAACATTTGACCACTCAGCATGTAATTAATTTGCACAAATGTGTCTTTGATATGTTGCTTAGAGATGGTGGTGACTCTCAAATCAGAGTCAATGAGAACCCAATGAGACTTGGTATTAAATTGATAGCAATAATGGAATTGCTAAAATGGATGGATGGATGGATGGATCTCAATTACCATCCCTACTTGAAAAGCTTTTTTAAAAGTCAGGCTTTTTCATTTACCACTTGTAAAATCAGTATTCACATGTCAGTCTTTTAAAGGTTTGTCTTTATAGTTGCAGCTGGAAATAGTATCTTTACATGTAAAATAGTTTAAAACATCAGCAAGCAATATAATGACTGCAATCATAAATAAACATTTCAGTGAAATGTTGTAAATCAGGTATGTCAACTCAAATTTACTCACACAAAGATGCCACACTGGAAAAAATGGCCCTCCAAAAACAAGAAAAAAAAACTTAATACAAAAATAGAATGAAGCTGCACAATTTCCAGTTTTTATTGTTTATATTGACATGATAGCCTCTGGTAAACTCAGATACAGATACATGCTTAGATAAGCAAAATAGTACTGAAAGTATTCACAAATGCATTTTATATATGTAAGAAGACACACCTGAAGATATATTTAAAAATCTCACATAAAATATGATATGCAGTAATTATCTAGATAACAATACCAGAATATCAGAATTACAAATGTCAGAGCTCTACACAACTAAAACTAAGATCAGATCCTTATGCATTGTATAAAAGTAGAATAGATGACTTGACAGACAATGAACCAGGACCAATCAGGACAGAAAGATCAGGTCAGATCAGGATTTTCTGCAGAAATTATTCTCTCAGTTTCACCATTTCACAATTTTCACAGAATTGCCCTTCATAGAAGAAAAGAAACTTGAATAAACATCTTATCTAAACATAATATCTTGGAAAGATAAATCCCTCATCCCATTTCATTACACATGGTACATGGTTATACATGCAGACAATCTAAAGCCAAAATTATAATGTGAAATTAGGCAGTTCCCTGACTTTTATGCTGATGATATTCTGCTCTTCTGAGCAGTAGAGCTGAACAGTTTGGAAGTCCATAAACTGTCCTTTTAAAAACTGACTTTAAAGCTTTGAATCATGACGCTCCTGCCTATATTTCTGATCTCTTAGAACCTCCCACTCCTTCTCGCAGCCTGAGATCATCTAATCAAAGGCTGTTGGTAGTTCCCCAAACACGTTTTAAAACCAGAGTTGATAGATCTTTTAGAGTGGTGGCCCCCAGGTTGTGGAATTCTCTCCCTCCGGAATTTTATTTATTCTTTTAAACATCATCTTAAGACTCACTTATTTAGATTAGCTTTTAATTAGATTTGTACTGTATGTTTGATTGTACTGTTTTATGTTTATGTGTTTTATATTATTGTGAAGCACTTTGTGGTTTTTATCCTGTGAAGATTGATATATAAATCAATAAAGTAAAGTAAAGTAAAGTAAAGTAAATTCCATGAACACACTTCTCGAACTCTTGTTATTTGCTGTTGATCATCTTACTGGAGGAAGTTGCTTCAGCTGATTTTTTAAGCCTTCTTAATGAACATACAAACCACAGGAAGATGAAAAAACCTGCAAGGCAAACAGAAGAGAGAGCAAGAGAGAGTTAAATAGAGGAGGTTTGGACAGTGAGCCAGACATACAAATCATGCAATAAACCTGATATTTCAACAGTGTCAGATTGCTGTTTAGCCATAGATGGTAAAAAACAAAAACAAACAAACAAAACACACCCCAACAGAAACAGTTGTATTGAAATCTGCTAAAAAATAGAACCATCTATTTGATAGTACAGTGGCTTGGAAAAGTATTCGCCCCCCTTGAACTTTTCCACATTTTGTCACATTACAGCCACAAACATGAATCAATTTTATTGGAATTCCACGTGAAAGACCAAGTTTTTTCATTTATCTTTAGGCATGAAAATGATTTTTGTACTTCTATGTGCATTTTTAACTTCATTTTTTTAAACATGTAATTTTTTCCTTTTTCTTTTTTTAACATGGCAGGGTATGGAGTGACGTGACACATCAGTGTCCAGTGTAGTGGTTAATGTGCACGTAAACCATCAACAATGACACAAATACAAGAAAACAGCCTTCGAATAGCTGTCCACTGTAGTCACTAGTATGCATGAAAGGGTTAAATATGCATTTTCTGGTCATTTCAACTTTTATTTCAACCATCTATTTTCACAGCCACATTTCTAATTTAGATTCACTGGGGGACTGGATTTTATCTGAGCTTTGACAGGTAGGGTATGCCCCGAACTGCTTGCCAGTCCATCACAGGACTAATATTAGTATTTTTTATAATGTCATACAGTATTCTTGCAAAAGACCCATCATACCCCACTGATGTGACCACAACGGAATCCTAACCCATATTTTGGGAGTCACTAGCGGTTATTTCATATTAAAACCACCAAATCTGAAAAAAGTTCAGATCTGATCCTGTAGAATCGGCTGATTTAAATGAAGTCATGCATAAATACGTTTGGCCTTTTAAAAACTGCGATGAAATTAAGTTTACATTCATTTCACTTGTTAAAATCCACAATTATTTTCTGTTATTTTGGTTAGATTTAGTAGTAATTTTTGATTGAACACACACAAACACACACACAGAAGAACTAAATGAATGAAATATAATATACAGACCTTGCAGTGAGTTCAGGAGACAGAAAAGGTAGAGGGAAATGTTGGTCAGGTTACTGAACGAGAAGAAGACCAGGCCCCAGGTAATGCCGAGCAGAGCGCAGACACCCAGCAGGGGAAAAATTGCTTGCTTGGCGTTTTTGCGGCGAAGCTGTCCAAAAACAAAATGACACAAGACACAGCAGATTAGAGACAAAATCTGAAACTAACAGAGGCCTTCACATGTGTTTTAAAGGTAATGACAGGAATTCTTCAGTATTTTTTTTTTGTTGTTATTTATTTTTTATAGACACTGTAATGGAAATTAGGTTTTAGGTACTGAAATATTACTGGAATGTAAACAGTTTATTTAAAAATCCACATTGAACCATTTCTCATGCAAAGAAATGAAAATTATCTCGAAAAACCAGCAGTCCTTATTTATTTATTTATTTATTTATTTATTGTCATTGTCAGAGAACAGAGAACAATGAAATTGCATTTGGGGCTTCCGTACAACCCGTAAATAAAATAATGAAGAAAATAATAAATACCCCTTAAAACCCAAGTGTAAATATTTAACCCAGTGTGACTCCAGTGCAATAAGACAATCCTTAGCAACAACATGAGAACATGACAAGTAAAAGACGAGAGATTCAACCCGCTGGAGTGCTTGCTGATCGGCCTTGGTGCAGCTGGGGAACCACACTAGAAATCCATACGTCAGAACGCTGCTGATGGCACAGTTGTAGAAGTTCAACATCAGAGATCTGGGAATGTGTGCGCTCCGCAGTCTCCTCAGGTAGTAGAGGCGCTGTTGGGCTTTCCGTGCAACTGAGGTGATATGGTTGCCCCAGGACAGGTCCTCGGTCACAGTTACCCCCAAGAATTTAAAACTGCTCACCCTCTCCACCGCCTCACTGCCAGATGAAGAGAGGCAGATGGTTGTTATGACCCTTCTTCCGGAAATCTACAATGATCTCCTTGGTCTTTTTGGTGTTTAAGACCAAGTTATTGTCGTGGCACCATGACTCTAGTTGTTGCACCTCTGTCCTGTAGTTTGTCTCATCGTTGTTGGATATAAGTCCGAGCACTGTGGTGTCATCGGCAAACTTAACAATAAGATTGGACGCGCAGGAGGAAATACAGTCATGGGTGAAGAGAGTGTATAGCAGAGGGCTCAGGACACACCCCTGAGGGGCACCGGTGTTGACCACAAGGGTGGAAGAGGTGTTCTTACCCACTCTGACACTCTGTCTGCGATTAGTGAGGAAGTCCACAATCCAGTTGCACAGAGAGGAGTTAAGTCCCAGTTGGTGGAGTTTGGGACGGAGTTTGTATGGCCGGATGGTATTAAAAGCCGAGCTGTAGTCTACAAAGAGGAGCCGTGCATAGGTGTTCCTGTGTTCCAGGTGCTCCAGTAATGTGTGCAGCACTATGGCGATCGCATCCTCGGTTGACCGGTTCTCCCTGTATGCAAACTGGTACGAGTCCAGGGATGGTGGAAAAGCAGCTGGCGGCGCGCACAGACGCAGCGGCCCGGAGCTCCTACATTTTTGCACTTTTGGTGGTACTGGGTATTATTTCACATAGTCTGGGGTTACTTCAATACAACAGAGATGATCTACTACAACTAAGCCGTGGAGATCTTCAACTAACATCCGAGTATCTCATCCCCCCGGAGATCGTTAAGCAACCCCCGGGGCTACCCGCAACAGCAAGCCGCAGGAGGAGACGTTGCGAGCGGAGGCAGAAGAGAGGCAGGCGGGGAGGCCTGTGGGCACGGCTAAAGACTAGTCCGTTTAAACCACCACTCCCGATCATATTCCTCTCCAATGCCCGTTCAATCCGTTACAAACTGGATGAAATACGACTGCAGATCGCCACCCGACGGACTTTTAATAACTGTTCGTGCATGATTTTCACTGAAACCTGGCTGGACAGCGCCATTCCTGATGCGGCTATTGATCTAGCAGGCCGCACCGCCTATCGAGCCGACAGGTCTGCGGACTCGGGTAAGAAGACCACCAACATGGCGAATGCGTACAGAGCCCAGGCTTATCCCCACCTGGGTCTGTCAGACCACCTCTCCCTTCTGCTACACCCAATATACACACAGAAGATCAAGAGCAGTGGGATTATAACCAAAACCGTGAGAACATGGCCGCAGGATGCTATTCCGATGCTTCAGGACTGTTTCCACTGCACAGACTGGGATGTATTCAAGGTGCAGGACACTGACAATCGTGTGCATTGGACAGTTACACCTCCACTGTCTTGGACTACATCTGTTTCTGTGTGGACAATGTAACAACTTGGAAACGACTCCGTGTGTTCCCTAATAATCCACCCTGGATGACACACGGAGTTCAACAACTTATTCGAACGAGGAACAACGCTTTCAAATCCGGGGACCAGGAGGCATACAGTGCTGCCAGGGCCAACCTGAGAAGAGGCATCAAGACTGCCAAGCAGCAGCACAGGAGGCGTATCGAGGCCAGGTTTGAGAACAACACAAACCCAAGGCAGGTCTGGGAGGGCATCAGGGCTATCACGGACTACAAAAGGAGAACACCATCACCCTCAGCCGACAGTTCTACTCTGGCTGAGGATCTAAATCTCTTTTATGCCCGTTTTGATAGGGAGAACACCGACCCTGTCCTGTCCCCTCTCCCCTCAACCGACCCTGCTCCAGTCCTGAGCACTCATGAGCTGAGGCGTGTGTTCCGGAGCATTAACACCAGGAAGGCGGCCGGGCCAGATGGAGTGCTGGGCCGGGTGCTAAAAGACTGTGCTGCGGAACTGGCGGAGTCTTCACCTCTATATATAACACCTCGTTGTCCTGTTCACTGGTACCATCCTGTTTCAAAGCAGCAACCAGTTTCCGCATCCCTAATAACAGGATACAATTTTGTGGAAGGATTTGGAAATTACTATAAATATCAAAGGTTGAAGTTTATTTAAAAAAGGATTACAAGAATAACTCATACCTCTTTGTTATACCCAACATTCAAAACACGTTTGACTGTCACCATAAACATGATCATGTTAAAGAGGAACACCATGGTGAACAGTCCAGTAGTAGTGACCGCCTTCACTGTTTCATTAGATATATAGCATCTACAAAGAAAGAAAACAGACAGTGATTTCATCTTACACAGTTATATGTTTATATATATATATATATAGTGCTTTCGGTTCGGTATGCATATGTATGAACAATACAAAATTTTTAATTTATTTTTATCAACTTTCTCTTCTGACGATGCTGTCTGTGTTGAGAGCTCAGTGGATCTGCGTTCGACTACTCCGCCTAGGCTGCACTGTCGAGCGCAGATCCACTGAGCGCAGGGCAAGCTAGCAAGACAGAAGCTAAGCTCGTTGCAACATGGCAAATTAACCTCCCCCACCCTCATTCAGATCTGGCGTTTGGAACTATTTTGGTCTTCATGTGACGTATGACCCTGAAGGTAAGCATCGTCATGGACAAAAGTAAAACAGTATGTCGGATGTGCCACGCAATGCTCAATTACATGGGTGGGAACTACTGCGTTAGTGCAGTTTGCTCGTTAACATGTTGATGCCGTCTAGCCCCACGCACGGGGCGAGCCGCGGTAGCTCGTTAACGGAGATTTGCCGTGTTGTGGCGTTAACGTCATTTCAACGAGATTAACGCTGACAGCACTAGTGGGAACACAACGAATATGACTGCACATTTACTCCGACATCATCCTAGTGCAAAGACAAGTGGAAGCAGACAAAAACAACAAGCACGCATGCTACAAACTTTACCCGAGTCATTTAGACAGCCGTTAGCACATGATTCTCCTTATGGGGACCTGATATGTTTAATATGCTGCTGAGAATATAGCCCAGAAGAAGCGTATAGTATAGCTTTTATTTTGGAAAGAGCCATTTCTCTGTAATAAACTCTCTTTTCCAAAGATGAGTGATTTCTCGATCAGATTTTTTTTATTATTTTGTTGTTTCAGCAACATTAAATTTAAAAACTGTACTTTTGAGTTAAAATATCTATTTATAATTTTAATAAATGACAAATTAAAAAAGCATGAACAATTTTTTTGTATCGAAAAAATATCGAACCGTGACACCAAAGTATCGAACCCCGTGAATGTAGTGTATTATGTATATGTATATCTATCTATATCTATCTATCTATCTATCTATATCTATATCTATATCTATATCTATATCTATCTATATAGAGAGAAGAGAGAGAGAGAGAGACGATAATGACTCGGTGTAATAAATATTTTCCTCACATTTTCGTGTCATCATAGTTTGATCTGTCTAGAGGGACATGGCCATAAAAGCCTCTGTCTATGATAACCACCACTGACACAATGACTGCAGGAACACCTGAAACACAGAAAATGATTAGTCACGCACAAGATTGCTGACTGCTTCCTGTTTGAAGGATTCCACTTACCCCATCCCACCACACTGAGTTTGAGAATGTATCTGCTGACAGAAATGTTAAAGATTTTGACTAA